TATAATTTATTTAAATTCATTTTATGTGCATTGATGTAAGGGTGTCAGATCCCCTAGAACTGGAGTTATAGACAATTGTGAGCTTCCATGTGGGTGCAGAGAATTGAATGCAGGTCCTCTGGAAGAGCAGCCAGCGCTCTTAACCACTAAGCCGTCTCTCTAGCCCCTAAAAATAATTTTTAAAAATAGAATATACGGTACAGTGAGCCTTGGTGTTCCTCCTCCACCCCCAATCCCACCCCCCCTTTTTTTTTAAAGATCTAGTTTTAAAAAACACTTCGTCAGCCAGATAATGGTGGCATATGCCTGTAATCCCAGCACTCTGGAGGCAGAAGTAGGAGCACCTCTGAGTTCAAGGCCACCCTGGTCTAGGACAGCCAGAGCTACACAGAGAAACCCTGTTTCAAAAAAAAGCATAACAACCAAGCAACCAAACAAACTAATAATTGCTCTTAGCAAGGCTGTTGTTGTTCCTGTTGTTTTGAAATAGAGTCTGGTAATTAAAGGCATGTACTACCATGTCCAGCGTGTCCAAGGCTTGTAGAGTGTCTATCACTGGACTGCTTTAGGTTACAGGCAATAGTGGCTCTTTTTAGGACTCAATTTTTTTTCTTGGTTTTTCCAGACAGGGTTTCCTCTGTGTAACAGTATTGGCTGTCCTGGAAGTTGCTTTGTAGATCAGGCTGGCCTCAAACTCTCAGAGATCCACCTGCCTCTGCCTCCCAAGTGCTGGGATTAAAGGAGTGCGCCACCAATGCCCGGCTAGGACTCACTTTTAATTAATTTAAAATTTTGTGTGTCTGAGTTTCTACCTGTATGCATGTTTGTATGTATGCATTTATATACATATATGTGTGTGATTCATACATACACACACTATGCATACATACATACATACATACATACATACATACATACAATCAGTTGCATGACTAGTGCCTAGTTTGGATGTCCTAGAACTGGAGTTATGGATGGTTATGAGCTGCTGTATGGGTGCTGGGGACTAAACCCAGGTCCTCTGGAAAATAGCAAGTGCTCTTAACCACTGAGCTATCTTGTTAGCTTCAGGGCTGTCTCTTATGACAGTTTTCTTTTAACCTCTGGGAGTCCTGAAGAAAGAGGATTGAATTTCTAATAAGCAGCCTGACTCTGGACTACATTTACATGATAGCTCCTGGTCTTGTTTTATTTCTCTAACTGTTCCTGTGCCTCATTCTATTGTGTGCCCCCTTTTGCTGGCAATTTCAAGTCTGCACTGAGGTTTTCTGAGAGTCACCTTATTTTAGCTTCTTGATACTTGCTGTCATATTAGATTTTGGGTTAGTGTTTCATTTGGTTGTAACATGTCCTAGTTGTAGTGAGGAAAGGAAGATAGGTGACTGTGCTACCATACATATAGTTTAGGGGGTTTTTCTCCTACACTAATAGGAGACTTGTTGGTATATAGTTGGTGGTTTGGTGATAGTGAATCAACTCATGAACATTCCTCCTTAAAAATAGGTCTCTGGCCCATCGTTGGTGGCGCACGCCTTTAATCCCAGCACTCGGGAGGCAGAGGCAGGAGGGTGTCTGTGAGTTTGAGACCAGCCTGGTCTACAAGAGCTAGTTCTAGGACAGCCTCCAAAGACACAGAGAAACCCTGTCTCGGAAAAAAAAAAAAAAAAAAAAAAAAAAAGGTTTCTGTAGTTGATGGACAGAGCAAAATTTTTATTTCAGTGGTGTTCGATTTCAGAGGTCATTCTGAGTTTATTCCTAGGCCTATTTCTTAATACAGTAAGACCTCAAAATTCCAGATTTTTTAAGGACATTTCTATAGGGCTGCAGAGATGGTTAATTTGTTAAGAGCACTAGCTGCTCTTCTAGAGAACCCTGATTTGATTTCCAGTGCCCACATGACCCCTCATAAACACCTGTAACTTCAGTTCCAAGGGATCTGATTCCCTCTTCTGGCCTTCAGTGGCACCACACATGCTTTTGGTACACATACGTGAAGACAAAACAACTATACACATAAAAAATTTTTTTAAATATTTTAAAAGGCCATTTTTAGAAACATAAAAATTATTAGAAACAGTAGCATAGGGCCAGCTCGAGAGAGATCATGGTGGTTAAGAATATATACTGATCTTTTAGAGGACCTAAGTTTGATTTCTAGCTCCCAACTGCCTATAAGTTCTAAAGGATACAACAACCTCTTCTGGCCTTCTGGAGTAATTGAACACACAAACTCATATCAATAAAGAAATTAAATATTTTTAAATTAAAAACACAGATATTAATAATTACTTTCCTCTGGATGATAATTCATTCTGGTTTTCTTTTTTCTGGGTTCCACTTTAGAGCTCAGGCTCCCTGGAACTCATTCTAGCTTAGTCTAGTCTCAGACTCATAGTGATTATCCTGCCTCAGCCTCTTTAGTCCTAAGATTACTGGTTTCATCATCATCATCATCATCATCATCATCATCATCATCATCATTTATTTAGGTGAAATTAGATTTCTAAAATTCTAGAGGATCTACTGGCATAGAGAATGTCTGGGCCAGTGAGATGGCTCAGCAGGTAAAAGCACTTGCCACTAAGCCTGAAGACCTGAGTTTGATATCTAGGACACATATAGCAGAAGGAGAGAACCAATTCCCATAAGTTCTCCTCTGACCTCTATAAATGTGCTACAGAACACATGTGCCCACAGACATATAGACATATACACACAAAAAGTTTTTTAAATGCAGTTTTGAAAAATCCTACAGGATCTTTATTTCCATCTGTGATTTAAATCAAAACTCTTGTCTTTTGGGTCATAGAAGCTCTGTGGACATAGTGCCCCAAAATAATTAGGTTTATTATATGCCTTTGAGCTAGAAGGAAAACATCTCATTCTGAAATTTTACCTTTATGTCACAAAGATCTGAGACTTTCGTATTTCTGAAAAATAAAAATAACACAGTGAGCCAAAACATTTATTTCTGGATCCTATGGTAGCAGACTGCTTGTGGATATCCAGGCAAGGCAGGAAAGAGCATGACCAAACAATTTTAGGGTCTTAGTTATCCTTATAACCAAACTTTCTTCCCAAAAGAAATATGTCAGACTTGAGTATGTAGATGTGGAGTTGGACTGGTATGTACAACTTGCATGAGGTGGGAAGTCCAGAACTGTTCTGCCAGCATCTTTTTTAGGCAATTCCTAAGTGCTTTGCTTTGTGAAATCTCTATGGGCTCAAGATGCATATGCTCAGTGATAGGCGTTTGTTTGTTAGATGTGGAGGCCCAGGATCCATCCCCTGGGCAGCTAAGGAAGACAAGACAGATTAAGAAACAACCCAAACCATGGGACAAAGCTTGGAAGCCATTGTTCTTGAATGTTGTTTCTCAAACTTTAAAGCACATACAGATCACTTGGAAATCTCATTAAAATTCAAACTCTAGTCCAGTAGGCTTGGGATAGAGCCTAAGAATCTGTATTTCTTTTTTGTTTGTTTTTCTGTTGTTTTTTTTTTAAAGATTTTATTTATTATGTATACAACATTCTGCTTCCATATATATCTGCACACCAGAAGAGGGCACCAGATCTCATAACGGATGGTTGTGAGCCACCATGTGGTTGCTGGGAATTGAACTCAGGACCTCTGGAAGAGCAGTCAGTGCTCTTAACCTCTGAGCCATCTCTCCAGCCCATTGTTTTTCTGTTTTGTTTTTTGAGATAGGGAACTATAGCCAATCTGTCCTTAAAGTTGCTGTAGCCCAGGTTGACTCTGAACTCAGTATCCTTCCTGGAATTGCATTTATGTACCATCATGTCTGCTTAGAATCATTATTTTTAATGAATTCTCAGTTAATGTTAGAGATGCCGGTCCTGATAAAGAGCTTAAATTTAGCTATTCAAGTTTTGTTGTTGTTGTTGTTGTTATTTGGCTTTTAAGATTTATTTGCTTTTTTTTAAGTCTGGGTGTTTTTCCTGCATGTATGTCTGCACTGTGTGTATGCATGGTGCCTGAGGAAGAGGCCTAAAGAGGGCATTGGATTCCCTGGAATTGGAGTAATAGATAGATGGTTGTGAAACCACCATGTGGTGCTGGAATTAAAGCCAGGTCCTCTAGAAGAACATCCAGTGCTCCTAACAGATGAATCATCTCTCCAGCCCCTGTTGTGATTTTTGTTTTTCCAAGAAAGTGTTTCAGTATGTAGCCCTGGAACTCAGAGCTACCTGCCTCCCTGGTGCTGGGATTAAAGGCTATATCTGGTCTAGCTAGTCCAGTTGTATCAATTAGGACTCTAATTTTTTAAGATTTATTTTTATTTTTCAATTATGTGTATATGTATTTTCATGTATGTACATGTGAATGCAGGTGCCCTTATAATCTAGAAGAGGGTGTCTAATTCTCTGAAATTGGAGTAAGACATTGAAAAATGGGTACTGGGAACTGAACTTGGGTCCTCTAGAAGATGCTGTGCAATCTTAACTGCTGAATCATTTCTCTAGTTCTGTAGCCTTTTTTGTTTGTTTGTTTGTTTTGTTTTGTTTTGTTTTTTGAGATAGGGTTTCTCTGTGTAGCTTTGGAGCCTATCCTGACACTCGCTCTGGAGACCAGACTGGCCTCGAATTCACAGAGATCCACCTGCCTCTGCCTCCCGAGTGCTGGGATTAAAGGCATGTGCCACCAACGCCCGGCTGTTCTATAGCTTTTTTGTGATGTTTTGTATCTCCTGAGTGCCAGTGTGATACACTGCATTCTCAGACTAATTAAAAAAAATGATTAGCTTAAGAGTTCTGTTGATATATTGGTAATAGCACCTCTTGATTAGAAACTAAAGCTTCTGGTGACACTGAGAAAAGGAGAGGAAATGTTCCATGAGTAATCTGTCTTTGGATTTCATGATTATTTACTTTTGCTTTAAGCATTTTTTGTTTGTGTCCTAAATAATATCTTAGCACTGTCTGGCCTTTCACTCTCTCTCCAAGTCCAATGTATTCAGTGATGCTTGTCTCTTTTCTCAGGGATGATCTGACTGATGATTCTGTCTTCACTCGAACCTCCAAGTGCTCTCGGGGTCTTGAACGATACATTTCTCGGGAGGAGGGGCCACTTAGTCCTTTCTTGGGACAACTTGATGAGGAATACCGTGCAAGAGAAACTTTTCTGCATAGAACTGAGTATAGTCCCCATGTCAGTTGTCATGATGAATTGTTGAGAGGAGCAGAACGGAATAGAGAGAAACTCAAAAGTTCTTCCTACTCCATACGAGCTGAGGAAAGAAGCCGGGAGACCAAAAGACCCCGTTATGATGACACAGAAAAGGTACATAGCATAGGAGGGGATCACTCGAGTTTTACATCTGGGACTCGCAACTATAGACAGCGAAGAAGAAGCCCAAGCCCAAGGTTTCTAGACCCTGAGTTTCGAGAACTGGACCTTGCCAGGCGAAAGCGAGAGGAAGAGGAGGAACAAAATAGGAGCTTGGGTCAGGAGCTTGTGGGAGCTGATGATGATCAAACTAGCTGTTCCATCCCTGGGTTGTCAAATGTCCTAACAACATCAGAGCCAGGATATTCTTTGCATCGGCCTGAGGAAGTATCTGTGCTGCCCAAGAAGTCCATTCTGAAGAAGCGAATTGAAGTGGACATGAAGCCTTCCTTGCAGGTCTGTGTTGTATTTCTGTTGATAGTCCCTCAGATATCCCAATTCTGATAGTTGTCTGGGACTGTGTTCCTTAGTAGTGTCTGTGTAACATGTGCTGTGCTGACATTCTATGTCTAACTGTGAGTGAGTCCTTCTAGGATTCTCCAGATTAAACTGTAGTCTCATAATGCACTAACAGGGGCTTCTGTTGCTACATTACTTTCTAAGATTTAGGAGAATATTTTTTTTCCCTCTTAAATTGAATAGCTCTGTAAGAATCTTTGAATGTAGATTCTTGGAAATGAAGCTTAAGGGCAAAAGGAGAAGCTAATTCTGATTTCTTCATCTTTTTACAAGACAGTGTATGATTTGTAGGACATTAGACTAGAAATCAAGTGATTCTGATTTAGGAACCATCAACTTCCTGTGTAAATTTTAGATGAATCACAACTTTTCTGGCCATGGCATTGTTTTTTCTTCCTATAAAAAAAATGGTCAGGCAAGACTACTAGTATGACTAGAGGTTTCTGAGCAAGTTAGAGAAATAAGGGGAAGTTGGTCAATTAGAGTTCTAGAGTTTCCTGACTCTGGAGCAGTCCTACTTGTGTGTTTTTCTGTTGGTCATTAATAGATATGAGATGGCTCACACCTATCATCCCAGCAGCTGAGAGGCCAGTGCAGGAGATTCCAAGTTCAAGTCCATTAGGGCACATTGATAGTTAAGGCCAGCCTGAACTACATAGTTAGACCCCCAGCAACATGCCTGGGGGAAGCCTGATGACTGAGTTTCATTCCCAGGTCCTAACTCCTGAAAATCCACACATACACAGTGCTCATGTGTGCCCATATATTCTCTCTTTCTCTCTATCTCTCTCTCTCTCTCTCTCTCTCTCTCTCACACACACACACACAGACACACACAGACACACACACACAATACACTGTGCTCATGTGTGCCCATATATTAATACACCTTCCCTCTGCCCCACCACACAACACACTGTGCTCATGCATGTCTATATATTCACTACCTCCTCTCTCTCTCTCTCTCTCTCTCTCTCTCTCACACACACACACACACACACACACACACACACACACACTGTATTCATGTATGTCCACATATTAACACACCTACCCCACACACACACCATGCTCTTGTGTGCCCATATATTCACATACTCACATCTCCCCTCTTCAAGAAACATCTCAGTTACTAGTGTTCTGTGATTCCTCATAGATGCTAAATCAGTGTGCTTGTGTTTGCAGCTTGAGAGCTTTTCCGGCAGTACCAGCTCCAGTCAGGATCATTCTCTCTATTCTGAACATTCACCTCTTCCATTAAGTGGTGCTATTGCTGCTTTTGCTTCAGAGATTGAAAATAAGGGAACTACAGTGGAGGCTGACCTGAAGGAACCTCAGAGTAACCTGTACCAGTGGGGTCTCCTCCATGAGACACCTAAAGACAACAATCCTCTCGCTGAAAAATTTGACAGTTTTCTGTGCTATAAGGAAAAATTGAATTTGAAGGCTGAGGGACTTGAGCGACATGCAGACTTCTTACTACCCCATGAGAGAGCTAGCCAGGATGGCAGTGGCTTTTCTCGAATTCTGAGCATGTTGGCTGACTCTACCAGTACACAGGAAAAAAGAAGACGTAGCTTCCCTGATATTGAGGATGAGGAGAAATTTCTCTATGGGGATGAAGAGGAGGATATTAAAGCAGAATCTCCACCTAAGTCCCTTGGGGACTCTGAGAATAAAGGTTCAAGACAGAAAGCAAGCTCTGTGCCCTCAACTCCAGCCATAAAGCTAGAATCACTAGAAGAGAGCAATCCAGAATATTCCAAGATTCATGACTTGCTGAAGACCATAGGGCTGGATATTGGAGTAGCAGAAATTAGTAAATTGGCTGCACGCACCCAGGAGCGACTTCATGGCAAGAAGCCATCATCACGCTCCCTAGCTGACCGACGTCCGTCTGCTGACCGACACTTCTCAGCTGACCGAGGTTCCTCAGTGGAGCACAGTTTCATAACTGATAGACGCTCATCAGATTCTCACAGACTGGAGAGCAGGGAGTCACATCATAGCAATACTCAGTCCCCAGAAGTATCCCATCCACTCCCAGCCTCACCAGTAGACCCTTACCTGCTCACAAAAAGTAGCCCTCCATTCTTAAAGGCTGACCATCCACTGGGTCATGTTCCAGGGCCAGAGGTAGTTGGCAGTGGGTTTCAGTCACCTGTTGCTGTTAGATGCATGATGCCATCGGCCCCACCTACCCCAATTAGACTTCCACACTCTGCTCCTTTACCCCAGTTCTATATACCAAGGGCCTCTCAGTTTGCCACACCTCGGATTCCTCCAAACTACCAGGGATCTGTCATTCCCTCTGCCCCCTTTGATGCCTATAGGCACTACATGGCATACACAGCCTCAAGGTGGCCCATGTATCCTGCCTCTCAACCATCAAGCCACACTTTACAGGAGCCACACAGGCTAATACCAACAACCAAACAAACTACTCATAGTAGTCGTCCCAATCTCCGTGTGATCCCCACTGTGACTCCTGAAAAGTCCAAACAAGAGGTATCAGTGCTAGGCTCAATTTCTGTTAAGCAAGTTCCTATTCAGGTGTCTCCATCACTCATAAGATACAATCCAGAGAAGATCTCTGATGAAAAGAACCGTGCCTCCCAGAAGCAGAAGGTGAATATTAGCTTTGGGTATCTCATGCCTGAGTTTTCTGTTTTCTATTTAACAAAAAACAGGTAATTTGTACTTGTTTTCTAGAGGTGTGTGAAAATTTGTAAGGCCTTTTGTACTCTTAAGTTTTTTGGAGGTTTACATCATTACCCAAGTAATGTATGCAATAGCCCTTTTGAGCTTGTAAATGTTTTGTCATTATAGTTCCACTGTGATAGCCAGTCTTTTAAATTTTTTTTTCTCTGTCATATGAACAGTCTGAAGATACTGAGGTTAGAAGCTGGAAACCTTGAAATATGATATAGTCTCATCTTTTTCCATTTAAAGAAATTTAATCCTTGGAAGACAAAAATATTTTAATTTTCTGTGATATTCAAATACTTTGAGCTTTAGCCTTAGGTTTCATTGACAGTCTTAAATTTCAGTAAAGTAAAAAACAAACTTCAAGAAAGCGTTTGTAGAAAAACTCAGGTGTGGTGGTGCACACCTGTAATTCCAGCACTCAGGAGGCAGAGGCAGAAAGATCTTTGTGAAGTGTGTGTCACCATGCCCAATCTGTATCTGTATTTTGAATTTTCTTTGACCTGTATAACCTTGGGGATTTTTGTTTTGTTCTGGCTTTTTTTTTTTTTTTTTTTTTTTTTTTTTTTTTTTTTGAGATAGGTTCTCTGTGTAGCCCTGGCTGTCCTGCAACCTCTTTGTAGACTAGGTTGGCCTTGAACTCGTAGAGATCCATCTGCCTCTGCCTCCTGAGTGCTGGGGTTAAAGGCATGTGCCACCACCACCTGATGAGTTGTTTTTCTTTTTTTTAAATTTTTTTATTTTTAATTTAAGAATTTATTTAGTTTATGTGTATGAGTGTTTTTGTTTTGTTTTTCAAGACAGGGTTTCTCTGTGTAGCTTTGGAGCCTATCCTGGCACTCGCTCAGGAGACCAGGCTGACCTCGAACTCACAGACATCCACCTGCCTCTGCCTCTGCCTCCCGAGTGCAGGGATTAAAGGTGTGTGCCACCAACACCCCGCCTGTGTATGAGTGTTTTGTCTGCATTTGTGTTTGTGCACTGTGTACATGCCTAGTGTTCTAGAGACTAGAAGAGAGCTTCAGATCTCCTGAGACTGCAGAATTACAGGCAGTTGTGAGCTACTGTGGAGGTGCAGGGAATATGCAGGACCCAGGTTTTCTAGAAGAGCAATCAGTGTTCTTAACCACTGAACTTTTTTTTCAGCTCCAAGATCTGCTTTTAATTGTGTGTGTGTGTGTGTGTGTGTGTGTGTGTGTGTGTGTGTGTGTGTGTATAAGGGCTTGTGCACATGTGAATGCAGTGCCCAAGAAGGCCAGAAGAGGATGTAAGATGACTTGTAACTAGAGTTACAGGCAGTTGTGAGCCACCTGATGTGGGTATTGGGAACTGAATCAGGTCCTCTACAAGATCAATACATGCTCTTAACTGCTGAGCATTTCTAGCCCTGAGATACTTAATCCTATATGACCTCACTTTTCCTAATTTAAAATAGAGAAAATGACAACCAGCAGTTAGTTTAGTTGGTTAGAGTGTAGTGCTAATAAAATAGAGAAAATATTGTGACACTTAAATAACATAAAATATGTAATGCAGCTAATATAATGAGTCGTAAGCGCATCTCATTCCTTTTCTTCATGTTTACCCCTGGGTTCAGAGTCACTATCCAGTGGTACTATCAGTGGCTTTGAAAATTCTTCTTGGTAGTAGAGTTGGGTATGAAACCCTGGTTTTGAGTTTGGGTCTGAATAAATGTCACTTTGACTACAAAGCCAGAGCTTCTGTATCCAGGCATTTGAACACTGGGTGAAGGGTTGTTTTGAAACTCGGTGTTGCTCTGTGGCCCTGGCTTTCCTGGAGCTTACTATGTAGACCAGGCTGACCCAATTTACAGCAAAAACCTCTAAGTACCACGATTTAGGGGCTGTTGGGAGCCAAGGGACTCCTGAAAACATAAAAAGTTACCAAAGGGAATAAATTCATCCTAGCTGGGCAGTAGTGGCTTCTAATGTCTTTAATCCCAAGGCTCAGGAGGCAGAGACAGGCAGATCTCTGAGTTTCAGGACAGCCTGGCTTACAAAGTGAGTTCTAGGACAGCCAGGACTACACAAAGAAACTGCCTTGAAAAACCAAAAAAAAAAAAAAAAAAAAAATGTTCTGGAGCCAAATGTGAGTGACCATGGCCTAGGGACACAAATATTGTGTTTCATTATGGATATAGTTATGTAAGGGTTTATTGTTTTTTGCTTTTTCTGTTTGTTTTTCTTGTTAGGTTTTTTGTTTTGTTTTTGAAACAGGGTTTCTCTCTCTAGTCTTGGCTGTCCTGAAACTCACTCTGTAGACCAGGCTGGCCTTGAACTCTCAGAGATGGGCCATCTTCTGCCTCTTGAGTGCTGGGATTAAAAGCATGCACTACCACCAACAGGCTAAATTATGTGAGATTTTTATTAGTTACAAAACAATAAGTTATAAAAATATTTACAGAAAACATTGGTAGGAGGCACAAGTAAGATAGGTTACAGCAAAGGAGGAAAACCCTGCTGTAGGTTTCAGATGGTGTTCAATGTTGTTCCTAGCTTTTAAATTGATATAAACTTGTGGTCTGCTAAGAATACATTGTATGGCCCGGTGGTGATGGTGCAAGCCTTTAATCCCAGCACTTGAGAGGCAGGCAAGAGTATCTCTGTGAGTTCAAGGCCAGCCTGATCTAAAGAGTGAGTTCCAGGATAGCCAAAGCTACACAGAGAAAACCTGTCTCGAAAAATGGAAGGAAGGGAGGGAGGGAGAGAGGAAGGAAGGAAGGAAGGAAGGAAGGGAGGAACGAAGGAATGAAGGAACGAAGGAAAGAAGGAAGGAAAATACATTATATGGTTTTGATAGTTAGAGGATGTTAGGTCCTACAGTCAACAGGTGTGGACTATGGATGATTTTAAAGGGAGTAAAAGTAGCTCAAAATAGTTTGGCTCTGGTCTTCAACATTTTAACTCCATAATCTTTAAGTTCAGACATATCACCATATAGAATCATCAACACAGGTTCAACCCCCACCCCCACCCTCTTGACCTTTTCTGGAAACTTCAGATCATACTCTCTTACAATTTTGTACTCTGTAGGTTATTGAAGAGAGGGAAAAACTGAAGACTGACCAGGAAGCCCGGCAGAAGAAAATGTTTTATCTCAGGACTGAGCTGGAGAGGCTTCATAAACAACAAGGTATCAGTCAACTCCTTGTCTGACTGCCGTGTCATATAGATAGTAACTGAATAGGAGACTTGAGTGCTCAGATGGGGTCATCAGAGAACAGTGTGGGCATAAGTCATGCAAAGAATCCTCAGGTAGTTTTCATCTCTCAAATTATTAACTGCTGTTCTCTTTTACTCTGTCTTCCTACCACCTCTCTCTTTCTTTGTATTTATTTGAGTGTGTAGTTTATTGTTTTCGAGACAGGACTTCTCTGTGGCTTTGGAACCTGTCCTGGAACTCACTTTGTAGACCAGGCTGGCCTCAAACTTAGAGATTCACCTGTTTCTGCCTCATTAGTGCTAGGGTTAAAGATGTGGGCCACCATGCCTGGCACTGAGTGTGTAATTTTTCCTGAACTCTTTTGAATAAATTGTAGATATGATACCCTTGAGAACTTAAGTATGTATTTCCTAACAAGAATTCAAGTACACAATACACTAATCAAAATTAGAGAATTAGGAGTAGGGAGATGGCTTAGGGGTATAGGACTTGCTGTACAAGCATGAGGACCTGAATTTAGATTCTCAGGACCCACAGAAAGTTAGATACAATAGCATGCATCTACAATCCCAGCTTTTCTATGGCAAGATGGGAGGCAAAAACAAGAGAATCCCCAGAAGCCTGGTGTATGCAACAACAGATGAAATCCTATCTCAAGCAAGATGGAAGGTAAAGGCAGATACTTGCCCTTTGACCTCCAAAGGATGTGTATGCCTGTACTTATACATGTGAACATGTACACACAAAGAGACACACACATGCACGTAAAAAGATTTTCAAAATTAGGAAATTAATTGTAATATCTAGCCTACCAATCTTATTTATATTTTACCAGTTATTTTATAATCATCCTTTATAGAAAAAGAAATACAAAGGTTATCACATTCAGTTGTCAGTCTTCTTTTAATAGTTCCTGAGCCTTTCTATTCATAATTTGTGATTTTAGAAAAGGTCATGTATTTTATAGACTATGTCTTAACTTATCTGATGTTTCTTTATAATTAAGTTGGGGTTATACATTTTGGCAAGGCTACGACAAAAGCAATGTCAAGTTTACATCAAGAGTGTCTTTCAGACCATAGTAAAAATCATTCTTGAAGCTTCTTCCCACCAGTTTTAATTAATGTTTCTACCCTGAGAAACTTGTTTTGATGGTTGCTAAATTATGTTTCTAATTTTATGTAGTATGCTTTCTGTTTTAAGGAGGAATTTCTAACCTCTACCCCAATTTGTTAGTCATTTTGTATGAATGTATATTTATTCAGTGATAGTAGGTTATTATCTGTCATTGTCATTATTTATTTCCATGCTCAAATTTTTCCAAATTTAGATAGTGGGAGCCACTTTGAGTTGATTGTAGTGTCCTTTTGATTTCCTCTTATCACTTTAAGATCTTTTATTTTAGCCCAGAATGTTCTGTGATATTCTATTTTTTGTTCTATTTCCCTCTCCTCTTTTTTTTTCTTTTGGTATTTTTTGTAGCCCACACTAGCCTCAAATTCACTGTGTGCTCAGGAGAGTCTTGAACTCCTGATCCTTCTGTCTCTACCTTCAAAGTAGTGGGAATTCCAGATATACACTGCCTTCCATTTCTTCTGTGCTTTCAAGAATTCATTTGTAAGAAAGAAAAAAATAACAATACTTCTAATTACTGCAACTGGATAATATACAAAAGAGAATAGAACAGAGAAAGATAATTGTTTCTGTCTGAGTTTGTAATGTTTAAGATGAAAAGCTTAAGTTATTTTGTCCTGTATGGATTGGCTCATTAAGACCTGCAGTTTGGAACAAGAGATGACATTAGGCATAAACTAGTGTAGAAATTGGAAGGTGTTCTTAAATCAGATAAAGCCACATAATCTTTTTAGGAGACACATACATACAAACTTGCATATATCACTTGGAGAGTTTGTGGAGCTTCTGAAGCCCTATCCGTAGAACTCTTAACACTATCCGTACAGAAAACAGAATATGATCGCTGGCCTTTCAACCCCATATGGAAACAGAATCTTACTTGCTTTATTTTTTTGTGGAAAATGATTTTGTAATGATATAGCTCTATAGGTTGCTACTTACAAATTAAAAAAAAAAAAAGAATTCTCTTAGTTTATCTCCCTTGGATTTCTTTTGGTAAATATTGGCCATTCAGGGGAGATGTTGCGCAAGAAGCGAAGGGAGAAGGATGGTCACAAAGATCCCCTTCTGATGGAGGTGAGTCGACTGCAGGATAGCATTATGAAGGACATTGCAGAGCTGCATAAAGAGACAGAAGAAGCAGAAAAGAAGCAATCTGAACTGGACAAAGTGGCACAGATCCTGGGAATTGACATCTTTGATAAATCCCTGAAGTCCTCAAATGACAGTAAAGAGTCTACAGAGAAGCCTGAAAAAGGAGAGAAATCTAAGAGCCCAGAAAGAGAGTTATTGACCTCAAACTCTTCCTCTAACAACCAGGTAACGATATAACTTCTCTGTTATTTTTTTCCCCTAGGGACTGCTGTAGAGGCTTTCAAGTACGTTTTTGAAACAGGCCCTTACTGTGCAGTCTTGACTGGCCTGAAATTTACTATGTAGAACTACCAAGCTATCCCTGAACTCACAGTTATCCCCTTGGCTCTAGAGTGCTGGGATTAAAGACATGCACCACCACACTCAGTGCTACTACAGTCTCAATCCTCTCGTCACACAAAGCTAGTGGTTGTGATACTCCCTTACCTATCTCTTGACCTCACTGTATGTCTCTCTTCTCTCTTGTTCAGTGTCATTCATCTAACCAAGGTTATCATTTCCTAAGTGCCGTTTTCTTAATCTAGTGGCTAATAAATATAAATAAAAGCATTTATTATTGATAACTATTTGGGTAGTTATATTTTAAGAGAGAATTCAGGCTGGTTAGCTGGCTCAACAGGCAGAAGCACTTAACTATACAGGCTGGATAACTTGAGTTTAATTCTCAGAACCTGTAAAAAGTGGGATTCAATGTCATTTTTATCTATAAATCTAGCAGTTCTAAAGTGAGATGGCCAGTAGAAACAATAGAATGAGCCAGAAGCTCAAGGGCCATTGTCTTAGGGTTTCTGTTGCTGTGAAGAAACACCCTGACCACAGCAATTCTTATAAAGGAAAACATTTAATTGAGGTTGTCTTACAGTTGCAGAGCTTTAGTCCATTGTAGTCATGGCAGAAAGCATGGTGGCATTCAGGCAGATGTGGTGCTGGAGAGGAGCTGAGAGTTCTACATTCAGATCAGAATGACAGGCAGCTGGAAATGAAAGTCTCACTAGACCTAGCTTGAGCTTTGAAGACCTCAAAGCCCACCCCCTAGTGACACACTTCCTCCAACAAAGTCACACCTGTTCCAACAAGGCCATATGTCCTAATAGTGCCACTCCCTATGGTCCTATGGGAATCATTTTTATTCAAACCACCACAGCCACCTAACTTAGAATATGCATCATAGCAACAGAAACAAAAGATACCTTTCCTCAATAAGGTAGATGCAAGAACTGACCCTGAAAGTTGTTCTCTGATTTCCAAACATATGCCAGATCACACATGAACCTTGCATGTGCACACACACACACACACACACACACACACACACACACACAATGAATAGAATTGTTAACTCAAAGATAATTAACTTTTATTGATTACTTTTAAGCAGTTTAGGAATATTTGATCTGATTCCTTTAGTCATTCCATGGAAATTACTGTCTATTTTATTTGTGTGCAGCATTGGCTTTCCATATGTACCAAGACACATAAGAGCAGTGATTTGACTTGTTACTTATTTTCTTTATGTTCTTTAACCTGCTAGCTACCTTTTACTATTTGTTTCTCTTTCTAGTTATTTTGATTTTAATTTAACATATTTGTTTCCATAGGTAATACATTCAATATCTACTAAAGGGTATAGTGAAATGACTCCTATCCTCTGTTGTCCTCTAATTCCCTTCATCAGAGGGAGTCAAACCTT